CATTAGCGAGCGAGGCCCTGTTTATTGATTGTTAGCGGAACGCGAGCAATTTGGCACCGTCCGCGTCTAATTCCATACATGGTTACGTGTCTCTGTTTTGTTGGGTGGGTGGGTAGGGTGAATGCGTTGAAGTTGGAGTTTTTTTTCTCTCCCGCTCCGTTCTCTTCCTACCCTCGCTTCCTATTCTGGAGTGTACAGCGGCCGGGGTTGCTTTCGCTCACAATAGCGAGAAAGCCGGCCAGGAATCTTTCGTCCGGGGAATCGATGCACGCACGGTGCTGCCACCCACAGTGGTGTCGCTCTCCATTGCTTTTAGCTGTCTAAGCTAAAGCTAAACAATTTAAATTTCATTTTATACCAGGTAAGTGCCCGCTGAGCTGCATAGCCCTTTTTAAGAAGCGACCTGGCCATCGCCAATGGTAGCTTCAACAAAGTGGACTTTAATGACGTGGCAATGTATAGCAGCCATATACTCCAAACGCATGACCTTGATTCTAAATGTGGAGGGAAAAATCCACGCGACCACGGGGAGAGAGAGAGAACACGAAGACTTCCAAATATACAGGCACTGTCAGGCTCGGGATCGAACCCACGACCTCCTGTATACCGGGCGAGGTAGTTAATATCTCCTAAGTTCAGCGATGGCGGTGAGTTTTTATTGTCCCCCCCCCCCCGGCCACTCAACTCCACCCCCGTGCGGTGAGTCTTGCTCGGCGTTCGCTGACGCAACATGCCGGCGCCGGCCCGCCGACAGGTTCCGCTAATCTTCCCCAAGACCGAGTTGGCAGTTGGTATGCAAAGCCAAGCGCAGTTTCACATGAGTGTATTTCCGCAGATTTAAGAAGAGTCGAGTGTTTATTTTAACGGTGGTGGTGGGAATGTTTGCCGGCCTTCTCTCCGTTTCTGCCGCTGGATAGGATACCGTTTACGGACGGAGCCGGGGGATGGGGGATAAACAGTCTTCGCTGTCGTCATGATCATCAGCCATCCTTCGCCCATCCGGTGCCGCCGCTGCTGCTGCCCATCAACTCACTCCTGCGCGTGAGCTGATGTCATCGCTCCGCTCCCTTCTTAGGCTGATTCCCTCGCAGCTATCGTCCATCATCATCATCATCAACATCCTCCTGTCTGGCGATGAGTCCTTGCCAATCCATAACAGATTGTTTTTGGGTGAGATCGCGTGAATATCGATGTGCCGTTGAACCCGCCGCCGCCACCCTACGCAGCCAAATTAATTAGGTTTGTCACGTGAACAAAACGTGGCAATTCTTTGCTAGTACAGAACACCGGTGTGTTGGAGAGTTAACCCGCAACATTTACGTGACAAACGATTTGCTGTGTCGGGGTGGTGCAGGCGGGTTTAACCGACGCATTTATATTCACGCGATCTGACCCAAAAACAATCTGTCATGGATAATGTTGGTCGCGAAAGGACCGCTTATCCTTTACCTTCAATGCGGTCTCCGATTTGCGTGTTTCTTTTTTCCGTGATGAAACATCTTCGCGCGTGCCCTTCCGGATTTTAATTTATTTTGTCGATATTCTCCTCCCGTTTGGGATGAGCAACATTGACAAGGGGGTAGATCGAGTTTTGGATATCCGGTCAGAAACACCATCGGGATGCGGAGAGTTGAAGAGGCCCTCTGCATTTCGTTGGCATAAGCAATCCTATGTCTTTTAGAACTGCTTTCTGTGCTTCCTTTGTTGTACCTCCCGCTCGCACCTCCGATTTGAGCACGGTTGGCTGCGCGCGGTGCGAAATAAGTTCACCCTACATCCGTACATACAAATGAGACTGGTCTCTGGAGTTCTCACCTGGTTAAACAAAATAAACTTGAGTCGTGAACCGATGTTTAATATGCGCGGCATTTTAAATTCATGAGTGGGGATAGGGAACTGCTCTCGGGGAGACTGGCGTGGGGGTGAGTGGGGGTGGTCTGGGTAGCCGAGGTGCAGCGTAGGCAGTGGATGGATGGAGTGGCCACGCGTCCGTTATTGTTGAACGGAGAAGCCTTTGCAAGTGCTCATGCCTTGCGCAATTAAATAGATCGATGTCGAGCGAAAGACACCTCCCAAATTTGCCCAGCATTTAACTGTTGAGACAAATTTAATTGGCTTCAGCTCACCTTGTGTTGTCGTGATTTCCCCCCGGCACGCCCCCCGTGTGTTTTCGGTGGGGAAGTGACTTGCAGTGGTAATGAGCATTGCAGCAGCGGTGTTATATGTCTCGCGCGCTACGTTTTTGGGGAAGGATTTCGGCAAGGGGCGCAGGGTGTGTGGGTGGGGGGGGGGGAGCAGGCTGCAGCGCGGGTACCGTGTGGGAGAAATTTTGAACGTGCGCAGGAGGGAAACAAACGTCAGTCGGCGGCACGTTGTGGATTACAAAGCGCGCTGATACGCAACGTGAAGCAAGATGCCTTGCGCAAAGCACACACTAATGCACGGAGTGAAACGCAAATCCTCCCCCTGAGATCCACTCGCAAGAGTAGGCCCCAATGACGTCACGGTCCAAAATTGCCAAGTTCGAAAATTATCCGCGCCGATTTCTCAATTGGGTTTCGTACGCACATCAGCAGCAGCAAAATCATCTATCCCTGCTTAGCAGACTCATGGAGTGCCGGAAATGAGACCCCATCCCTGGCCTCCTCGAGTTCTCGGTCAAAACTCCTACTTGGATCCTACTCTGCAGCCTCCGCAAATAAAACGGAACATTGCGATTCCAAGTCACGACCGCCCCGATGTTTCCCCGAACGATTGGCGGCAAATGCATCCTTTCCGACGTTTCAATTCGGGAAGAAATTACGGCATAGGTGTGAGACCGGCACTTTTTGTTTGAATTGGTAGTCAACAACAACGTGCCTGGAGATTATGTCTGAAAAACAAAGCGTAGTTTTTTTAAATCTGTAATATATATAAAAACTCCTACCAATTAGGAATGTTTTTCTCAAGTATTTTATTGTAAAACATAAGAATAGGTTTTACCCTCTCTGCAAAAAGTTATCTGTTTGGTGTTTGAACATCTTAACGCTTGCTATTTTTATTGCCAGAAAGCGTAAAACCTGTTCTTGTTTTTCATACTTTGATACTGGCAAAAAAAGTTCCCCGTGAGTATTTTAGTCACAAGACAATCCAGGTCCACACACACAGGATATGAAATGAGGTTGACACAGCACATGAACGTTTTTGATACCTGCTATTTTACATATACATTAGTTTTCCCTTGTTTGTAATTCATCATCATCATCATCGGACGCATTTGAATGGGTAATTAGCAAAAATAAACATTCTTGCCATGTTTCACGTTTTGTTTACGGGCTGATTAAGGGGGAAAAATCCCAGAAAACCACCCCTCTCCTCCACCCCTTCCTCAACAGCTCCATGGAAAACAATTAAATTCCAGTTGAAAATTTAAATGCCCGAAGGCCATTAGGCCCGCAGTGCGTTTACAGCTTTTCCTGGGGCCAGATAATCATCTTTGGCAAGTGGCGGAAGGAATTCGTCAGTCCAGCGTGCGCGCGCGCCGCTGCTAAAGCAGCTTTGAGATTTCGCCTTAAATGGGTTGAAGTGAGAATTCATCTTTGGGAGCGTTGGACGTGGGAGGCTTCAGAGACCAATAGCAGCCTTGCTTTTTAGCCACCCCCCAGGTCGTCGTCATCTCTTGCTCACCACGTGCCCATACTGAATGCGTGTGACAAAGAGCTTCATAGCTCATCGGATTCCTCCAGCTAAAAATAAACATTCTAGAATTCACCTTGAGTGCACGCGCCCCCCTCCCTCCGGCAGGTTCCCTGACTAGTAACATTGTTCCGGCTCCGTTGGGCACTGTATTTGCTTATTCTATCGTCACGCTCGTTTGCCCAAGAACGGCCTCGTTGGGTCACCGTGACTCGTTGTCAGGAGGGTCCTGCCAAGTTTTTTTGCGGAAGCGGGTCAATGATTTGCTTCTGTGTATAATCCCAGTTTTGAGCGTTTGGGTGGCGTGTGCCCGGGACATAGCAGGTGTTGTAGTTGGATGTGATCAGATGGCAGTTGAGTAGCAGTGGATTGCGCCCCACGGTGGTGAGATGTTAACTCACTCGCCTGGTATATAGGAGGTCGTGGGTACAATCGAGTTTACACGTTTTCTCTCCCCATGGTCGTGTGTGGATTTTTCACCTGGCTTTGATTTTATTTTCCCCTGCACCATTGAAAGACATGCGCTTCGAGAAAATTTGGCCGCTGTGAATTTCCTCGTGACGATAAGCCACTTCCGTTGAGCCATCATTTGTGATGACCACGTTGCTTCTGAACAAGAGCTTACACGCCCCAGTGGCACTTACCACCTGGTAACATAAAAAAGGTTTTTCCATTTGAGCTATAATGTGTGGGCCACCAGGTCGCTTCTGAAGAATAAGTTAATACCTCGGTGGGCTTTGTCTGGTAGGATGAGGTTGGTTTAGTGTTGTATTTGTTTGTGTTTTGGGTGATTTTTATTTTATTTTCTACCTACGTGACTTTACCGTAAGAACCAAAGAGTATGGATCCCTGCAGTCACGAAAACTTCAAATCTAGATTTGGGTGATTTGGTTACCTTTCTTGTACTTGGCACTACTATTGTGTTAATTCTAGATTTGAAGCTTTCGTGACTGCAAGGATTCATATTTTTGGGTTTTTTCGGTAAAGTCATGTAGGTAAAAAATTAAAATTACTTGATACAGCGAGCGTGCTGTGACGGTTCCACCTGAAGACGGAGGCTTGTGTTGCCTCCGAAACGTCGTGATTTTTATTTTATTTAAATTTTAAATTTTTACCTACGTGACTTTACCGAAAAAACCCAAGAATACTATTGTGTTTTTGTACTGTTTGTTGTTGTTGTAGCGTTCTGACCCCGTGGTCCCTACTGGACATCTGTTCAAAGGGGGGTGGGGGGGGGGCGGCTTCATAGCTCATCGGATTCCTCCTGGAGTATAAACAAATATTCTTGATTCTGATGCCTTCGCCTGTGTCTGCGCGATCCACAGACTGGCTGGTAGCCACTCTCGCGCTGGTGCTGACCGCCAGCGTGCTCGCCCTGATCTGCACCATCTTGGGATGCGTCTCGCTCTGCAGGAACTCGTCCCAACGACTCTACAAGCTGATTGCCGCCCTGCTCTTCTTTGCTGGTGCGTTCCGCTCCGCGGTTCTGTTTACGTATGGACGTGTGTTGTTTGTACGTTGAGCTTTTGCACCGTTGCGTAGCCAACCGTGATTCTCGGTGGTGCCGGGAGAAGGACAACAAAGTAAACACAACGACAAGCAGTTAGAAAGAAATACATTTTCAATTCGGTTTAGTCGTGTAGTGTTATCGTAGTGCGTATTGTAATATATGTATGTATGTTGACATTCTTGAGCACTGTTATGTAGCCAACCATGCTAATCGGAGGTGGCGGGAACAAAAATGAGTTCCCATAACGGGATTTAAACCCAGGTCACCGCCTGGGTGAAAACCAGGAATCCTACCCACACTAGACCGTATGGGAAGGTGCGTTCTCTGCGTGCGTGCGTGTTTTCTTTTTTAATTCTCCATCCCAGTTTTCAAAAGGAAGTCTTGTTTGTATCGAGTATGGTTGCCACGATATTGTCTCTAATGACAGGGTGAGAAATACGTTTTCGCGATGTGACGGAGCCAGTCAAATCAAGTTGGCATGTTGGAGATGTTGGAAAGCAGGCAAAATGTTGCAATATTACGGGGGTTATACTAACAAAAACATCAACACCTATGCCAACAAGCTCAAACCCAAAATAATCTACGATTCACAATACCGTACTTGCAGGCCTCTGAATTAAAAGTAACTTTTTAATTGGAGGCAGCTTTTTTTTTATGCTTTACAACTGAAGTTGGAAGCATCGATGCATTTAGCTTTGTGTCCACCGATCCCGGACATGTGCCAAGTGAAATAAAAGTCACCCACGGTGAGATATTAATATCACGGACGGGAAATGTATGATTCTGTGTTGGCATTTTCGGCGTTAATATGCAAGTCGTTTTGCTTTATCGCTGTTAGCGTGAGCGACCCCCACCACTGGTACCAGGGGTAGCTGCCCGCGCCGTTCTAATACCAGGGAAGATCGCGCGAGTCCTTTGACCCGTGCTAAAAAATGTTTTATCTATAATAAAAATCATCGACAACGACACGTGAGCGGGTGGGAGAACGCACCCAAGCCGTGCGATGAAATTTCACGGATGTCACGGCGCGTTGCAGTTCTCACCAATGCATACCGCTAAATTTTCTACGTTTGGTTTCGTCGGAAAAAAAAAAAACCCGTATCCCATCGGGCGAGCAGGCGATAAAGTCCCACGCCGCTTGACGTCTTCACGCCGGGATCTTGCAGCAATACAATTGTAGGAGGAAGGGGGGGGGGTGGACAAAAAAATATTTGGAGGGCACTCAATTTGGAGGCCCGCGAAGGGAATTGCGGATCAGTCGCTGCTCAACCGGCGACTGAATCCTCGCACCCGTGGGCAATTCCATGCCGGTGTCTCCCACCGCGTTTAACGATCGTTGAGCGCCACGTTTTGGAAAGACGGGATTTCAAAGAGCGGACGTGCGCCGGGAGACAATAGAGAGGCGAGCGGCAGGTTTGTGCCGTGGCGCTGAGATAGCCGGTTATTTTTACTCGAGTGGTTTAAGCAAAAAGAAAGAGGGCCTTATCCTTTATTGGAATTGTCGTTTCTCTGCAACCGCATTTTTTTTGTTATCATCTCTCTCCCGGTGGCACCTCCAAAGCCCGGGATGCCGAATTGAGTGTCAGTCCTAATCTGTAGGGAGCATTTCTTAGCTTTTGCCCAAATCTCGGACGTTCCTGAAGCTTCCATACTGGAAAAAGGATGCACGGTTGGCTACGTACCATACGCAAGAAGTTCCACCATTGTTCCAAAGCTGCGCCAAAGGCTGTAACCAGCCCAGCAATCGTCACCGTGTGTGTGACGAAAAAATTGTCTATGCTTGATTTCAGTGTTAACTATTATGTACAGTACATTATACACCACATACAACTTAAACAATGAAAATGCTGCACGTGTATGAATCACCCCACGCAGAGTCTTCGAGATTGGAGTGGTAAGCACGTTACGGTAAATACAGCAACTTTTTAAAATAGGATATTTAGTTTGTGTTTATTTATCCCAATTTCAACCAGTAAACCAATTGAAAACACAACAAAGAAACATAACAACACCCAAAAAAATGAATGTCATACAGGGATGTGCATCGATAAGCGATTTTAAACAATGACCATTCGTGACTACCCCCGAATCCGCTGGATGATCGATGATCTACTGCACATACACGTGGCACATGAGTTCAGCGGTGCATGGCACTCGAGCGCATTTTGACAGCAGAAGGTTATCTAAACAGAGCATTGATTCGGCCAGCGATGTGTAATACTCGGACCCGAAATATCACTCCGGTGGTAATGCGATTGCCTCCCGTGTTGTACGGCCGACACCGTTGTGTGCGACGACGAGACCGTGCCCACACGCCTACGCTGTGTAAATAGTGGACATTGAGCGAATGAATAAATGGGCCGACAAAAACAATTTTTGGGGCTTTCAGCAAGCACGCCTGGGAAATTAAACGGCCGTAAAAAAGAAAAGAGGGGGAAAAAAACCCAGCAAGCCACGTCTGCCGGGGCAGTTCAAGAGGCCACGTTTGCGAGTTTGCCCAAAGACATGATTGCATTCCGATTGCAGGGGTTAGGCGGAGGCCTCCCACCCCTCGGCGCACGAGTGGCGAGGAGAGAGAGAGACGTTGTTTGTTACCCAGCAATGCCAGCGGACCATCAAGCTTCTGCCTTTATAAGTACACCCGAGATCATTCCACCCACACTGACCCTATGGGTCCGCTCCATCTATGTGTGTGTGTGCGTGCGTGCCTGGTGGGTTTTTTTTATGTGGGGAGCGGTGATGTAGCAGCTAGAGCGCTGCGCTACGAACCCGGTGGCCCGAGTTCGATTCCCGCTGACGGCCAACACCCAGTGATGATTATCTCAACCGGTTCTGGGCTTCCCCTAGGTCGACTCGGTCTCAAATGAGTACCTGGTGCGGTACCTAAATATCGCCACTGGGGAGACAAAGGCGGCCGGGCGTGGTGCTGACCACCCAACCCCTCGTGCGCCGTGCTGGCCTTCATAGGTGCTACTCGCTAACAGCACTTGCCCCAGCAGTCTGTTCAGGCTACACGGATGATCTTTGTCTTTGGGGTCTTTTTTTCCCCCCGTTCTGCTTCCAAGTCTGCTGCACAGAGCTGCCACGGTAAATGGCTCCCATAAGTGTCATGTCCAAGGGCAAAAATATAGATTCGCGGCTGCACTGGTGCGTGTGTGCGCACGCGTGTGCACGTGTGTGGGGAGTGGTAGCGTAGTGGTTAGCGCTACGCAACTCGAGTTCAATTCCTGCTCGTGGCCAACACCGGTGACGTTTATCTCAACCAGTCTTGGGCGCCTCCCCAAGGCCGACTTGGCCTTAAGTTAAATACCTGGTGCGATGCGTAAAAAAAATAAAAAAACATCGCCACTGGGGAGACAAAGGCGGTCGGGCGTGGTGCTGGCCACCCAACACCTCGTGTGCCGTTCCGGCCTTCATAGGTGCTCGCTAACAGCACTTGCCCGAATAGTCTGTTTAAGGCTGTACGGTCGGATCTTTGTCTTTGTAGATACAATGACATCACTGCTTGTTCTTGCGCTGTGCTATATAATCTTTAACACAAAGTGTTGATTCCTGGCTATGCAGATCACTTAATTCTCTCTCTGTGGGCATATCGGGTAAACTCCGTCTGAAGTGAGTTCTTGGCAAGATGCTTAATGTTATGAAATGTGATGTTATTAGATTGTTACTCGGCACAAAAACGATACTTTACAACCGAACAAGTCAGATTCACCTACCTGTCAACCCCTTATCAGTGCCCTACCTTATTACAGACCAATTGAGACTGTATTGATCACACTGTGCCCCTTATAAACCTCAACATTCATCCTACAAAGTCCCATCACAAGGGAGAAACACAAACAAATAGACAAAAATAGACAAGATCAATTATTTTGCCCGTATTGAAACGACTGTTTTCCGTATGGACCTGAAAAGTCAACCTCCCTGTACGAGAATGCAGGGGGGTGAACCGTTTGGCTTGTGACGGGTATGCGTGCAAGTGACGTCCTGCACAAAAGACCATTGAGGCATCAACGTTCATCTCATGTTTACAGCCCCCCAGAGCCAGCGGTGGAAATTACACATTCCCATGGCCGGGGAAACCTCTCCGTAGCAGGAACACTGTTGGCTTTCCCACGATTTGGTACCTAGTTTATGCACCCCAGAGGGATGATGGGCTGAGTCCTCCCCAAAGCGGGATTTGAACTCTCTCATGACCATCCCTCCCACCTTAGCATATGGCCGGGTTCCCTGTAATTTATTATCGATAATGAAACTTGTCAAACATCGCCAATGCAGGACCCTCTTCAGCAAGTGTCTTTGAGGCTCGGCGAGGCGGAGCGGTCGTCTCGGGAACGGGAAAGGGTTAACAAGAAAAAATGTCCTTCCCTCCCGCATGGCCCTCGGAGTGACCGAATGAATGTGCACGCGATGCGTACGTGTGTGTGTGCGCGTGTGTGTGCGTGTAGGGAGCGATAGTGTAGCGGTTAGCACGCTGCGCTATGAACCCAGCTGCACGGGTTCGATTCCCGCTCATGGTCAACACCAGTGACGATTATCTGAACCGGTCCCGGGCCTCCCCTAGGTCGACTCGGCCTCAAATGAGTACCCGGTGCGGTGTGTAAACATTGCCACTAGGGAGACAAAGGCGGTCGGGCGTGGTGCTGGCCACCCACCCCCTCGTGTACCGTGCTCGCTAACAGCACTTGCCCCTACATTCTGTAAAGGCTATATGGGGGATCTTTATCTTTGTGTGCATGTGTGCGTCGCGCTGCCTCGGATTCGCAGCTGTCCCCTTCTTACCCGCCTCCGCCAGCTCGCACCCCCCCCCCCCCCCATACCTTTCTCCACATTGCATCTTCCCCATTTTCACCGCCCGCCCGCCACTCAAGGAATGTCCTCGCAGTCACAGCAGCGTGTGAAAAATACGCGCCAGCCGCGTTAGTTTTCGAACTTGTATCGCTCCCGTCCCCCCCGTCAACGGGATTCCATGGTCGGCGGGCTTGCAGCAAGTCCAGTCTTCACCACCCCCCTCCGCCACCCTCCCCCCGATGGACAAGGCGCTTACGCGTTGGTTGTGTGTGTTTCTTCTTCTGTTGTCTTTCAAACCAGCCGAGAAGTCGGGAGACCGAGTCTTGTTCGCAAAGAGTTGGGTGACGGTGGGGGGGGGGGGGGTGGCAAAAAAATATCAAAAGCCAAAGCGAGTGATAGAAAGCGTCGCAGCGAAGCAAATATATGTATCGCCGAGAGAAACAAACCGTGGCACGTGAGCGATTGCGTCGGGGGGGGGGGGACATCACACGGGCGCAAATCGCCGTCGAATAATTCATTCCCTGCCTGCAGCTCATGATTGGCTCGAGCGGGTTACTTTTTGACCGATTGTGGCGCGATGCAAAAAAATAATGTAAGCTACAGAAATGTTTAAACGGACACGGCGTGGCTGGGTTGTTGTTCGGCTTGCGTGCGGGAAGCTCCCGCTCCCCCGCCGTCGCTTACGTATTCGGTCGGAGAAACGGATGCCCCCCCCCCCCCCACTCGTGATTAGCTTCAGTGGGGATCAATGCCCCCGTAGTCCATTTGATGGATGCATTGATTGCCCTCGCAATTAATAAGAGATTGAAACTGCTCATCTAGTTGATGATTGTTTTGAACAGGTGACCTGGTTGGACGTGAACGCGTGTGTGTTTGTGCCTGTCAATCCTCACATTTTTGTTCCTTATAGCTGCATGGTTAAGCGTGGATAATCGGGAACATTTTGATGACCTCTTCTCAAAATCTTCTTGGTTCTTTCGGTAAAGTCACGTAGAAGGGAAGTAATAAAATAATAAAAATATTATGTTTAATTTTTTATTATTTTATTACTTCCCTTCTACGTGACTTTACCGAAAGAACCAAGAAGATGAATCCCTGCAGTCACGAAAGCTTTAAATCGAAATCTTCTCAAAATATTAATTCTCCACCACCGTCATCCTCCTCGTCATCGGTATAGCTTCTTGACCACCACCACTACCAGTGTTGCCACCATCGCTGGATCACCCCCCACCATCACCATCACCAGATCAACCTCCATCATCACCGGATCACCCCCCATCATCACCATCACCAGATCACCCCCATCATCACCATCACCAGATCACCCCCCATCATCACCATCACCAGATCACCCCCCATCATCACCATCACCAGATCACCCCCATCATCACCATCACCGGATCACCCCCCATCATCACCATCGCCGGATCACCCCCCAACATCACCATCACCGGATCAACCTCCATCATCACCATCGCCGGATCATCCCCCCATCATCACCAACAGCAATTGTTCGTTGGTTAGGCCACACGGTAGTTTTATGCCAAATATTCACATCTATTCACCCTCTCCGAGTGGTCGCCCAACCCTAAAATAAAATTCGGATCACGAGAGATAATTTTTCTACTCTCCTTTTTTATCGCCATCGCCACCGCCATCGTCTTCATCAGCATGCCGTGCAGGCCGTTGTCCAGTCCTTCATAGGGGGGAGGGGGGGGGAGACCAAGGTTTGCTTACAGTGCAAAAAGCACCATGCTCATACTTCACGGCTGAAGAGAGAGGGGACCTTTGTTATATTCCTGCCCTCCGTGTGTGCCTGCGTGCCTGCTAAAGTGACTCCGGGGAGGGTGGGGGGGGATTCGACGGATTGGTCTCCGGAAATGCAGATTTATGATCTCGCCAAGCTTTGTGCTCGCAACAAACCACCGTCTTGTTCTGCTACGTCCCTCGGTGGACGAGGGTAAGGGAAATTTGCATTTATTGGAGCATCTCCTTAAAGAGCGTGAATCGTCACACGAACTACGGTCATCCTCGCGGCAGCAGCAGCGGATTTTGGCTCGGCCATCGAACAAAGAGATGGTGGTCAACGCATCGTGCGATGCTTTCAGATGCGCTTCTGCGGCCGTCTGGAACGCTCTTCCTTCCATTATTAACTAGGAGGCCACTGGAGCCATGCACTTTTAAATTTAGATTGAAAATTCATTTCTTGAGAACTGCTTTTTGCGTTTTTCCCCCGGCACCTCCAATTAGCACGTTTGGCTAAGTACTGTTCGAAAGAAGTTCTACACGCATACAAACGCGCTTTGCATCTCCCATCTCGGTCGTTCCGATACACAGCGGCAGTTTTATTCTAAAACATTATCCTAGGGGACCCACTGATGGCAGCTGTCCCTGTGTGGCAACAACGTGTGAGAATTAGTCTCTTAGTAGCTAAGGGGGAAGCTGGGGATTGTGTTGTGATGTGTTCTCAAGCGATTTGAGTAAACAGCGAGTAGTGCTGTGGTGGTGAGATGTTATCTCCATTGCCCGGTATGCTGGAGGCCGTGGATTCGATCCCAACCCTGTTGATGCCAGTATATTTGGAGTTTGTGTGTCTCTCTCCCCGTGGTCACGTGTATTTTTCTCCAGGTTCCTCAGGTTTTCCCCTCCACATTTAGAATCGGCGTGCCTTCAGAGTATATGGCTGCTATCAATTTCCACATGATGATAAGCCACTTCGTTGAGCTATCATTTGTGATTGCCAGGTCACTTCTGTAAAAGAGCTTTGACAGCTCAGTGGGCCTTGCCTGGTAAACGTAATATAAACAATAGTACAGAAATATTTTTTCACATTTGGGCCGTGATGCTGGCACGCATGGCCGAGTGTTTTTTGAATAATGTCACACGGGATCTTCTTTAACGTCGGTTGGGAAGAGAGGTGGTGCGGAATAGGCTGTGGGAAGAGAGGCAATGGTGTCCTCTTGTTCACGGTGTAGACTTTGATCCGAGACGTTTTGGCTTCATAAACAAACCGAGTTTATGTTTTACGCGTTGTGCCGTATCCACGCAATTAGCAAATGCTTTAACAGCCGGGTAGCGATCTTCAGCCGAGATGCCTTCCTGCCTGTTAAATTCACGGCGACATGCGAACGGTTTGGCCAAATTGTGTAAATAATTATTTTTCCAAATGGCTAAAATTGTGCGCACAATCTCATTAGCAAACAACAACAAAAATTCCTTAAGGAGGGTGCTGCTATTCATTTATTAATTCATTCCAAAATACTGCCAATGGTAATATGTAAATAACTATTTTGAGGATTCTGTTGACTCGTTATCCCGTAGAGGGAATTCCGTAAACTGTCAATTATTCAGGGGGGTGCAAGGGGTGATCTGTATTAAACGTAAAAACAACGTCGTTCGACATCGTCAGGTGACAGCCAGAATTCTGATGAGGTTGGTTGTAACAGCCGGCAAAACGTCATACTCGAATTGTAAACGTTGTGGATTTGCTCTCCAACACAGCGGTGTGCTGTACTCCTAACGAATTGGCACGTTCTGTTTACGTGACAAACATTACTAATTGGCTGTGTCAGGTGGTGGTGGAATTAACGACACATTTATATTTGCGCGATCTCACCCAACAACCTATTATGGATAATTTTATTTTTATTTTATTTTTATTTTATTTTTATTTTATTTTTATTTTACTTTTATTAATTTACATTTTTTACCTACGTGACTTTACCGAAAAAACCTAAATATGAATCTTTGCAGTCACGAAAGCTTCAAATCTAGAATTATGGATAATGTTGACCGCGAAAGCCTACGTGTTGAAGCTCATTCAAGTCACATTGTCGCCTTCAAAATATAAAGTGTACGATACATTTCGGGCAATGGCCCTCCTTCACGGCACGTACAGAAGCCAGAGAGAGAGAGAGAGATAATGTGGGAGTGGAGTGGTGGCGCAGTGGTTAGCGCATCACGCTGTGAAACTGGCGACCCGAGTTAGATTCTTGGCCGCAATCGCAGTGGCGGGCAGTGTCAAAACTGGTTCTGGTCACACAATTTTTTATTGTTATTTTTTACCAGGTAAGGCCCTCTGAGCTGTCCAGCGCTCCTATTTCAGAAGTGACCTGGCTACAAATGACAGCTCAACGAAGATGGCCTATCGTGTGGAAATGTACGGTAGCCAAATCCTCTTTCAACGCGTGACGTCGATTGTAAATGTGGAGGTGAAACAAAAAACGGGAGGACCTCGGAGAAAAATCCACGTGATCACGTGGAGAAACATGCAAATTCCAAATATACAGCAGCAGACTTCAGGGTTGGGAACGAACCCACGACCTCCTGTATACCAGGCGAGGGAGTTAACATCTCCTTCACCAGCCAAGACATTTACATGGCCTGCGGTGTACGTTTATGATGATCGGTGCACGACGATGCAACCATTCATTCATTCAAACCAACCCTCTCCGGTTCAATAAGTTGCATGTGTTTGAGAAGACGCGCGGCCTTGCTTGACACGCGTGCCTGTTTCTGTCCGCACGCGTGCAGCCGTCCTGCAGGTGTGTGCCCTGGTGCTCTACCCCATCAAGTTCCTGGAGGCGCCCGCTCAGAGCAGCACCTACTACGAGTTCAACTGGGGCTACGGCGTCGCCTGGGGTGCCGTCATCTTTATGATCGGGGCCGGTGTGCTCTACTGCATCAACCCCAAGACGGAAGACCACGATTACCCATACTGAGCCGTGGGGGGGAGGGGGGCAGTGGCGGCGACGACGTGTGGGAACTGTTGACCTCGTCCACTAGTCGTCGGCGAGCCTCCAAAACAGAGCGAGGTCAGAGAGAGAGGAAGGGAGGGGGGGGGGGGCCTTTTGTCGCGAGGGGTTCAAAGTGTTAGCGCGTTTGAGCCCTCTCCTTGTGCGTGTCTGTGTGTGGGGGAGGGGGGGGATAACTTTCGTTAAACGTGATCCGATGTGAATTGAAGTGTTTTTTTTGTTAGTTATGAAAGTCGCATTGCCCTGAAGGGACTTGCCCCCCCCCCCCCACCGTCAATGTCCTTGGTCCCGTTGTGCGAACGCGTTAACCCCCGAAACTGAAGGTCGCGTGCCGCTGCCCGTGCCGAGCGAGAGGCCTGCAGGCCGAGGGTGGCCACCTCGACATGCTTGGGGGGGAGGGGGGGCATGGCGGTTGACTTCCTCATCAAAGGAGACATGCGCCGGGCCTTTTAGCTCTGGTTTTTAACCTGCGGTGCACACTTCACGCGCGGCCCTGGGTTCGTCCGTGCGTGCGTGTAGTTCAACGGTCAGCACGCTGCACGGCGAACCCGGCGACCCGAGTTCGATTCCCGCTCACGGCCAACACCCTGTGACGATTATCTGAGCCTGTTTCCGGCCCTCCCCTAGGTTGACTCGGCCTCAAATTAGTTACCTGGTGCGTAGTGAACATCGCCACTGGGGAGATAAAGGTGGCCGGGTGTGGTACTGACCACCCCCCCCCCCATCACCCTCGTATACCGTTCCTCTCCCCCACTACTGGGCCAGTGGCGATGAGCACGTGCTGACGTGCATGCACACGCTCGGGCTCGCTCATTTTACAAACGCATTTGCAGTTCAATTGACAATGTACACAGTGGTCTGCGGGGCGATCAGGTGACACTTGGCGCAAATATGAGCACGATGATGGTAACACTACAGGGAAGGAGGTGGGGGGGTTAGTTTTATTAAGCAGAGGCGGAGATAGCGGCGGCCGGGATGATACCAGATGTGAACGTAGCGTTTCTACGGCTGAATAAAGATGCACGTTGGTTCCGTGAGCCCGGAGCATATATCTCGCTTGTCCCCTAGCGCCCGTGGTGGCGTTCATTCAGCGGTTTCAATTTCCTTCACGTGGCCAACGACGCCGAATTCTACGATTTTGTCCACGGGTAATTGAGTGGGGATCCCGAAACCCGTTCGCGCGTATTAAATCCCACCTTGGGGGTAAGAGACACGGGAGACGGTCGGCCGACGGGCGGGGGGAGAAAGGACGGTGTCCAATAAGCCTCGACTTGAAGCGAGTTTTAGAAGTATTGGTGTGCGTGGTGTGTGTGGTGTGTGTGTGGGGAGCGGTAGTGTAGTGAATAGCGCTCTACGCTACAAACCTGGCGACGCGGGTTCATTTCCCACTCGCGGCCAACGCCCAGTGATGATTATAAGAACCTGTTTCCGGGCCTCCCCTAGGTCGACTCGGCCTCAAATCAGTACCTGGTGCGACGTGTAAACATCGCCACTAGGAAGACAAAGGCGACCGGGCATGGTGTTGGCCGCCCACCCCCTCGTGTGCCGTGCCGGCCTTCATAGGTTGCTCGCTAACGGCACTTGCCCCTACAGTCTGTCGAGGCTATACGGGGGATCTTTGTCTTGGTGTGTGTGGTGTGTGGATGGTGACGTGCAGGCAGAGAGCGGTGCCTCGCGGTATGGAACGCGAGCGCCTGTGCTACGATGCGTATGTGTACGCGCGTGCGTTTGTGTGCGTGCGTTTGTGTGCGTGCGCGTGTGCGTGCGTGTGCGTGCGTGCGTGTGCCCGAGGCTCCGTTGGGGCACGTTAGGGGTATAGCGCGTGCGTGCCCGTCGGTTGTAATTGACGGGAACGTGGTGGGGGGGTGGAGGGGAAGGAGGGGGGTGGTGTTCGCGGGGTGCCCATCTCAGCCCACGGCCGACGCTACGTTTTTGCGTTTTGTTCCCCCCCCCCAATCCGCATCTCCGATTGGCTACGTACGGGGAGTTGTGTTGGGGGGGGGCGAAAGAAGGTCAACCGAGGTGCGTGCGCACGCTTAGCGCAGCGTCCAAGTTTCTCTCTCCGTGTTTTTTGCGGGTGGAGATCTTGCAAGAGATGTGAGTGAGCGAGACACCGACGGGCCCCCCCCCCCCCGTCTCTTAAAAGTCGGCACGTATCTTTGCACCCTAATTGATGTGGAGATTTCGCTTGGAGGAACGGTTACTTTTTGCGTGTAATGATATTAATAATAAAGCACCTTTTGACGACGTATTTGAGAGTTTGTAACGAGACGCCGGGAATGTTGAGCCACGCTGCTCGGAGCTCGAAATAATTTTGTGGTCCCTTTCGTTTGTTAACAAAATCATCGTGGGTGTTTTCGCACCAACGACCTTGCTGATGATACTGGGAGTAATTGAAACCTTGGGGGACTGTTTGTGAAATCGGATGTGTCGTGGCGTCTTTTCGTGACTTCAAAGATGGCTCGAAACATTCTGCGGTTACGTTTGGTTACTGGCAGGTTTTACAAGACAGGCATGTTTAACAAAACATTTTTTGACTCCCAAGAGTAATTTGAACGTTGCGTCGGGTTCCGTTTAAATCAATAGTTAGGTGTAATTTATTAGAGGTATTTTTTTTGTTATTTTTTCCAACGTTTCTGCCTTCGGAGGAATGTGTTTCTGTACAAATTGGGGGGGGGGGGGGGTGGAGGTTAAGATGGCACTGGTTTTAGATGGTGGTGGTGCTGTGGTGGTTATGGAAAACGTACGGAGCAGGTATTTCAAACGTCGCCGACAATAAGTGCACGCCTTTTTTAATTAACGAGTTAACGGAGAGAGTGTGCGTGCATGTGTTTTTATTTGCCCGCCTAATTTTGATCTTATTAATGACCACGGCTTTCGCGCGCAGTCCCGAAAGCGAGAAGTGTTTTTTGTGACCCGTTACAATTACGTGGAGGAAAAGTACCTTGGGGGGGAGAAAGGAAGGTGGTGGTGGTGGGTGGGGTATGGTCATGCCGGTCGGAAATTCCTTTAAACGGATAACAATTGCAATTGTTCATAATGGAGTTTTTTTTTGGGTTAGATCGCGTCAATTTTCGTTACTAGTGCAGCGCGCACCCATTGTGTTGGAGAGTAAACCTACAACATTTGCAGTGCTCGAGTTGCAAATGTTGTCGTGGGTTGTGGGTTAATTCCAACACACCGGTGGTCGTGACGCGTTGTTTACGTGACATACAAACTTACTCACTGGCTTGTGGCGGCGGGTTTAACGACGCATTTATATTTACGCGATCTAACCCAAAAACCTGCGTGTTTAAAATAACCATTGGTACGGGGGTTTTGTGCCAAATTCTGAAAGATCTAGGGGGACAAAAGAAAAAAAAACCTACCGTACGCGGGATATCCTTTTTAAAAGTGTGTTGTTGTTTTTTTCTCCAAAGCCGGGACTTGTGGAGCGACTCTCCAAAACAACAATAACAACATCGGTGGGGGTCCCGGGGGGTCCCGGGGTGTCCCGTCTTTTGTGAAGCCAGCGTGTGCCAGGCCGTACAGCCCACACACTTGGGGGGGGGGGGGGGGGGGAGAGCGATCTGGCAATCACAAATTATAGCTCAACGAAGCGGCCTATCGTGTGGACATTTATAGCAGCAAAATACTCTAAACGCGTGAGGTTGATTCTAAACGTGGAGGGGGAAAAACCGGAGGTCCCGGAGAAAAATCCACACGGCCACGGGGAGAGAGAGAGACCGGCAAACTACAAATATACAGGCATCAGGGTCGGGCTCGAACCCACGGACCTCCTGTATAATCAGGTGAGGTAGTTAACATCTTGCCACTTTATCGTCATGCCCCCCGCCCCCTGGTTTGGTTTGGGCTGTCGTGTGATTTCATTCGAAACTTTTGATATTTCTGACAAGACACTCTGGAGACAACGAGCACAAAAATTGTAAGTTTTTTTTAATGAATGCTCATCGCACATCATTTTACATGCGGCACAAAACCACGTTCATCGAGTTATTGCCGGCACGTTATTGCCGGCACGGTGTTGCGACGTGACCATTGGATTGTGGCGCGTTTAATTAACTCTTCTGTGACCGACGGCCAAGTGCGTTGTGTTGGCCTCGCAGGGTTGTGTATAGTTTGCAACGGTTTGGGCCGAGTAAAATGCCATGAAAGCACAGCAAATCGTTAAAAAGCACAATTAAAAAAATGCTGAACACATCGGCAAAGCTACGGAAAACTGACATTTCGATTTAAGCATCGTCACACCGTGAAAATGTACACCGCTTTTAGTGGCGTGAAAAATGTTACGGCCATCCCCTTACCGTCGTGAACTATTAACTTGATCTTTAGTTAACAAGGAGACGCCTTGTGGCCCTTAACGTAGGCGTTCGCCAAACCTCGCCAGCCCGTTTTGGTGCCCCCCAGCTGCTAAAAAAAAAATTACCTTTTGCCCATTGGCGTGGCAGACGGCGTCGTCTGCCCGCGGAGGGAGGGAGGGGAGGGAGGGAAGGATGAGGGCTGGGGGGGGCTGCAGCCGTGCGGTCAGTGTCGAAGCGTGAATACTGCCATTCGTCGTCGGCACGCGCATCCGTTGAGCTGTATCAACGAAGGAATTTCGTCAATAATGGAGTTTTTTTTTGGGTTACGTGATGTAACCCCTCCAAAACACCTGTAATTACGGACGATATTGGTTGGGAAAGCCTGTGGTTTTATATGGAATTTCGAGAGATGAAACGCTGCAGAGGGTTTAGTGGAGATTTCTGCGTGCTCGGAATTGCATTGATAGAAAACGTGGCTAGATCGGAGAGGAGCGTGGGTGGCTTTCTACACATTCTATGGGGGGGGAGGGGGGTTGTTCGTTCCCCTCTCCTTCCCGCCCCCCCCCCCCCCCCAATGTCGGCACGAAATTTGCCGCGACAGGATTGTGGACGACGGTGATGAGTACGCGATGTGACGTTTTGTCGCCGGGAATGATCACCCACCCCGCTTCGTTGTGTGGTAGAGCACCACACACAACGTGGACGTCGAGCGGAACAGACACCCGTTAATTTTTTTTTCTTTGCAGTTTAGGGCATTCGAACCGATCGGACGAAGGTTCCATCGGTTGGCGTGAAACGCTTGCGGTTTATTGTCGAGCAGATGTGCGCGCGGAGTGAGCAAGACGGTTTCACGTGAATCCTGACCTCTCTCTCCCTCGTCCATTGGGACTTTGGCAATGGACCCAAATGGGCTGTGGAGAGGAATCGGCTGACCATAGAATGAATGTACGAGAAGTACATGGTGCAGCCCTGCAATTGCTTGCGCAACACCATGGCTGGCTGACATGAGGCCCTCAAATAGAGGGTATTTGGCCTACTCTTCCACGCTGGGCGGACAGTCTTGGAAGAGGTGGGAACTATTATCGATTATTATTTTACCAGGTAAGGCCCACGGAGCTATATTAGCTATTTTTCTGAAGCCACAAATGCTAGCTCAACGAAGTGGCTTATCATCATCACGTGGACATTTATATCAGCCAAATGCTCTAAACGCGTGACGTTGATTCTAAATGTGGAGGGAAACACCGGAGGACCCGGAGAAAAATCCACGCGACCACGGGGAGAGAGAGAGAGAGAGACACGCAAATCACATATACAGCAGGCGTCAATGTCGGGATCGAACCCACGATCTCCTGTATACCAGGCGAGGTAGCTAACATCTCTCCACTGTAGCACCTCATTTATGCCGCTGGGTGGACAGAGATGGCGAGTGGGGATTTAAGATGGGGCCCTTTGCTTCAACCGCCACGCCTGGAGATCCGACTCCAACCGGCGGCCCTCTGAATTGCGAGTTCACCGCGCGAATGTTACACCCGTTGCAGAATCGGCTTTCTTAGAACGCGGTGTGAAATACCCTGGACAGATGCGTCACTTGAGATGTGTCTGGGTGACACGGGAGCAAAGTATTTTAAAAAAAACTGTCGCGCACCCTTCCGCAAGATAGATTCCTTCCCACGGCTGCGTGTTCATTTTTTTTTACTTCTTTTTTTGTTGCACCCATCTCAAGTGTTGCTGGCGGTCACTGCGAGGCCAGTAACTCGGCCGCGTTTTATTCCTGGACACCCAGTGGATTATGCGAGACCCGTGCCGCACGCGTCTTATTTTTAGTAGGGTCTCCCTGACGCGGCGATACTACGATAGGGTGCCAGGTTGGGAAGGAGTGGGAACGCTGAAATATTAAGAAAATAATTATCGCGAAGAAAAGCTAAAATAAAATCACTTTATCGGTACCGAGGCGCTCCCCACAAGGCCACGCGGAAGGGTGTGGAGCGCAGTTTGGCGCCGGCTATCATAGAATGCGGCGGACGTGTCGTGACAGTTCACTGCGGTGAGTAACAACGTCTATAAAAACAACGGCGCCACTACTGCGCCTCTAAAATCGACGCTGAACCGCTGACGCGTTCCGAAATTCGGCGGTAAACGGGGGGGACCCACCCTGAAACACACAGAACGTAAGTGAAAAAAATGTTGAAGCTTAAAAAAACCCCTATATAGCTCAGGGCGCTTTACCTGGTATAGTAAAACATAGTTTCGTTTAAAAAAGAGTTGAAATGGATATCCATCCGCCCAGACCAATTAACCGCCACCCACCCAGTGCCGTATCTGTATAACTAATCTTGCAACGATGTTCACATGACCGAGTTTAACACACGTCCACCTGTAACTCGGGTGGCCATGTGGTCGGATAGGCGACGTTGTAAATGTCAGTATGTCACCCTGGCCACGTGTCTGCCAGTGTTAAAGCCTTCTCTAATCGCCCTACCGCATAACCGAAAAAAAACTTTGGCCATTTCAGGTCTTGGCTTTTGAAAGTTTATATATATATAAAGTGATTTCCGTAGCTAAACGGTCTTTACATAAATAACCACGATGTTAATGCCAAAAGTATCCAACTTAGCACTTTTGGTGACGTGTAGGCGGCATAATAATTTTGAATGAGCTAAATGTTGAGAATTATATATTGAATTTACGTTTTGCACAAGACGCTACTTTATTTTCCGCAGTTTGTATCTGCTGTCGATATTATCCGGATAATATATTTGCAGTGTTAACTATATACATATGGGGGGCTTATTAATAATAATAATAATGCTTCATCTGGGCTGGTGGTGGGGACTTTACTTTGCTTGGTTTTCACACTCGGAAATGCATGCTGTGTGTTCACCATCTGTACGCAACACTTGCACCTCCCGGTAGGAGGGGGGGGCGGGGGGTGAAATTCGCTTTGTGTCGCCACTGATCCTGCACCACGAGGTCTCGCCAAAGAGTTCATGGGATGATTGTTTGAAAGCGTTTTTTTTGCGTAACTCTTGCGCATCCGCAAAGCTTCGCTGAGCCTCATGACTCCTCTTCTTCAGGACGGGTCTTGCCAGTAAGTTGGTGATGGGGGGGGGGGCGCAATAGTTTGCGGTGTAAATTTTAGTTTTCCTCTCTCTCGCAATACGGAGAAAAATTTAGAGATGACGACGGCTCACGATTGCCTGCTCACTCGAACGACGTCGGTGGATCTTAAATTGCTTGGAGAAACGGGGAGGCGACTGCCTGTCCGTGTGTAAGTTTGGGAGGGTGCGAGATGGCGCAGAGAAAGAGCCACACGGCCCACGGACACAGCCGACGCCACCGTCCTCGTGTCGGTCTGGGGGAGGGGGGGTATCCCTTTCTCGACTGGGCCCCGACACGGGGAGGCGAATTCGCACGAAACGACCTCCTCCCAGGGCAGGGCTCCCCCAAGACTCGAAGTTTGAACGTTCAGAGCGACCTCTCGAATCGACGCCCGTGACGCCAGGCAGGGAGGGTCACATGGCCACGCGTCCCGAGACGCCTTGACAAGCGGCAGGTGACTTCGTGGTCACTCGCCATCCAAAACAGAATCGGAATGTTTATTTTTACACGATTTGAGTAATTGGCGGATATTTTTTGTCCAAATTTGACCGATCGACATTGGGATTTTTTTTTCATCTAACGGAGCAAAATGAACAAACAAACCACGCAGAACCAAGGGGAAAATCTACAACGTCACCACGCCGCCTCCTCCGCAGTGACAGCGTCCAAGCAGACGTGGCGAGGCAGCCGCCAGATTGTCACGGCGGGCGCACACTCCTGGGAGCCAGGCCGATGACCGGCGGTCGGCGTGAGAGGCGGAACAGATGGAACGCGCGGAGGGATCGGCAGTTGTCTCGTTGTCGGTGGGAAGACGGGTCGCGTGGACTCGTGGCTGAACTGTTAACGGAGGGAATGAGTCAATCCGCGGAGCTGTTTCCTGCGTGTGTTCGCGCTCGTCCCTCTTGCCACGGCTCTCTGTCGTGATGTCCGCCGCGCTGTCGTTGTTCCCACGGACACGATGTTGTCCGACGTTTCGGTCCGCGTGCTGGGAGCCTGTTCTCGGTGCCTCCAGCTCCCGATCGGAGCTGCTGCTCGGCTAACGCGCGGAACGTCGGGACGCCCCCCCCCCGGTTGACGGAAAAAAAAACGCATCGGAGTGAATGACTCAAGCGGAGAGTGAACGACGCAGGCGGAGAGTGAACGACACAAGCGCAACTCTTGACTGGATCTTGTCTGTCGCAGCTGCTAACGGCTTGCCAGAGGCGTCGTGCATTGTATTTCGTCTCTTTTCTTTCCACCTTTCTTCCCCGAGTGAGTCGCCGTCCTCTTTGTCTGCTTCCTAACAGTTGTGAACGTGCGTGTTGAGAAAATAAAACCCCTTTCACAGCCGTCGCCTGGTTGCTGTTGTTTTGTTGAGCGACACGGGAACAAATGGGAACAAAACGGACTGCGTCACGGGATGAATATTTTGTGTTGCCGGCAGAATTTCGTTCGCTGCGTAATGCGAAAAACTGTGACGACACCGATAGAGGTTGGCGGTCGTGGTGGCGATTCGTTTGATTCTTCACACGAATGCTTCCTCAACAGCTGCGTCCTACAGCGCCATTTGTACGCTGGTTGGACGACTTCTTCTTTGGTTCTTTCGGTAAAGTCACGTAGGTGAAAAAATTAAATACAAATTTAATTAAATCACGACGTTTAACCCCTTAACTCCGGCATCTCTCCCACTTCAGTATAAAAACATTATTGCTGTGGTTGTCACACCTGATGATGATTGCTTGTGTTGCAATAGAAACGGCGTGAATTATTTTATTTATTTGTATTTAATTTAATTTTCACCTACGTGACTTTACCGAAAGAACCAAAGAGTATGGATCCTTGCAGTCACGAAAACTTCAAATCTCGAACGACGACTTCTTCTTCTTGCGCACGCCACGGGACGAAGCCACCCGTGCCAATCGGGAGATGGGGAGTGAGTGAGTGCGTGCAGGTAAGATCGGCCTCTGTGGAGAAGGCTCGTGAAGGACGCTGCTGCTGCTGGGCAGTAGGAGGCAGTCGCCCTCCAGCACCAACGGAGGAGCGACGCTCACAACAACGAGCGGAGCGCCCGGCCGGATACATCATAGCAAGGTGGCACAGGTGGGGGGGGGGGGGTTACAGCTGGTGCATCTACCGGTCATCTCAGCCGACCCATGGCACCTGGGTCTGTGTCGGCGAGCCTCTGACACTTCACACGTGGTAGCCTCGAAGTGCACCTGGCCTGGCACAGGCGACGTGGTGACGTCGCCGTCACTTTGTGACGAACGGCGGTTCACTTGGTGTGGGGGGGGGTCAAATGTCATCATCTAGCGCGTGTTCTACAAGTCGTGGGGGGCGGGGGGGGGGTGCTCGCTACTCGCCCAATGAACGTTCTTCTCCTTGGGCTCCACGTTTACACGTGAACCTCATGGTGGAACCGTGATGCAGTAATTTTTTTGTCTGTCGATGGTCGGCGATGCGGCAATCGGCTCATCTCGACGAGCTGAACACGATGCACGACTCGGAGTTGAATTTTTCGATAACGGATTTTTTTGTTATACTGATGTTTGGCGTTTCGACATCGCAGAGTAGCACCACCGATTTCGGATTGATTGGTGCCCCAGTCGCGGAGTGAAGTACACCCCTGGAAAAAAATAGTGTCCCAGAAATAAAATATTTAATTGCCTCGGCCATTTAGTGTTATTTGGTACCCCGGGGTACCGCCATAAGGGGCCGTCCATAAATGACGTCACGCACCTAGGGGGGGGGGTCACATTTGTGACGATGTGTGACGAGGAGGGGTTTGAGAAATGTGACGTCACATCAAAATGCGCAACTTCAAATTCAGTTTTTTTCAGTTTCATTTATTTGGTGTAGCCCTGTGAGCCATTCGGCTCTTTAATCGGGTGCAACCGCAACAAACAAAAAACAAAAACATGAACAGGAAAAAACTGCAAAGTCTTCCAGAAAAAAAAGCAGCGTCTATCAACGATAAATATAGACAACACGTTCTACTTAATTACATATACTTTTTAATAAATGTTTTCTCCTACAACATCAGAGTGCATCGCCACATTAAATACGCACTACGATGACAATAGTTTAAAGCGATTTGAAGCATGGTTTTTTTTGGGGAGGGGGCAGAGCTTTGTGACATCATACTTGAGGGGGGGGTCTGACTTTTTGTGACGCCGTGTGACGAAGCGGGGTGAGGGGGTCAAAAATCGTCCAAAATCGCGTGACGTCATTTATGGACGGGCCCTAAGGATCAGTTCATGGGGGGGGGGGGGCACAAAGCCCCCACCCCGAGTCACGTGTCATTCGGGCAGGGACTTCTCCTGGAATGTGTGGCCGTTAAATTCCTTTCCTTTTCATTGAGATTGAGATTGTGCCATGGGCTGACAAGGACGCACTTTCCTTCCCACAAAAGCGATGTGCCGGTAAATAAAACATTCTTGTACTTTTTTTTTCAGAATTTATGTTTTTTTTATACTGCAAGAATCCGATGAGCTACGAATCTTTTTTTTTTCAAAGATGTCCGGTAGTTTTACAGTGTGAATACTTTACTGTGCATACGAGTTTATACTTCGCTGTGTACTTTACTGTGAATATTAAGATGACAATAACAGCTATTTTAGTGCACACAAACGGACAGGCGGTATAAGAACAATGGGCTCGCATGATGTGCAGGCATAATGCACGTTGACTACAATATAAACAACTCCACCGGTAATTGATAAACCATTGTTATTCATATGCATTCATTACCCCCCCCCCCCCCCCCACACACACTTGGCACAAGAAGAGCTCACACGTGAAGTCATCACATCTACCCCTCTAAGGAACGAGGATTTCTCCGCAAATCTGGCTGTCGCCTGATGATGCCGGTTGTAATTACTGGCGAAACGTCGTACTCAGACTGTAAATGTTGTGGATTTACTCTCCAACACACACCGGTGTGCTGTACTAGTGACGAATTGGCACGTTCTGTTCACGTGACAAACCTTACTCATTGGCTGTGTCGGGTGGTCGTGGGTTTAACGACACATGTATATATTGACGCGATCTAACCCCCCTAAAAAACTGTATTATGGAGGACGTTTTTTGTGTTGTCTCTAGGAGACGTCACGGGCATGGAGAAATCTGCGGCTGTTGTTGAAGTGTTAAGGCGCACACACACACAGAGACACTCACACTCCATGTGCACGCTCTCCCGATTTGGAGTGTGCCTCCTGCCTTCACGATGCGAACGCACACGTCAAGCAGAATTCCTCCCCCTGGCGCCGTCCATCAAAGAGGCAAGAAAAAACCTCCCGAGGTGTCACGAACAACCACGAGAGGGGGGGTGGTGACTTGACCTCTCCTAGGGCTTCGTTCACTGCAAATAAAGAAAGACACACACACACACAGACACCGTTGCAAACGTTTGATTGCCACTTTGCTTTGTTCAAACGGCGACGTCATTCACGAGCGTCATGTCGTCTTCTTCTTGGTCTTCTTCTTCCACGCGGGGGGTGTTCCGCCGTCATTGCCAACCTTCTCCACGCCTGCCCTGTCCTGGGTCCACCGTGTCCGATTACACTACATCGCCCCCCACCCCACCACCACGTCTACCTCTTGATCTCTTTCCTTCCAATCGCATCGCTTGGCACCTCCTGAGCCACATCATCTTCCCCTCGTCTCTCAGCATGACCGAACCACACCAAGCTTCTCTCTCTCGCCCTCTCTCTCTGGAACACCTTCTCCGTGATTTCTACCACCTCGAGTCTTCCTCTCACGTCTTCATTTCTCACCCTTCGTCCTTCCTTGTTGAACCCCGACACCCACCGCGACATGCTAATCTCACGGGCGTTCCTTATTTCGAAAAGAATTACCGCGATGAGCGTGGTCGGAATTTCATTATTGCTTTATATAAAAAGTGCCGTGTTTGTGATGGGGGAGAATGGGGAAGGCGGCGGTATTTGTTTGTTTTGTTCGTAAATAAGGGGCTGTCCATAAATGACGTCACGCGGCGTCACAAAAAGTCAAACCCCCCCTCAAATATTACGTCACAAAGCTCTGCCCCCCCCCCCCCCCAAAAAAAAAATATTAAACATGCTACAAATCGCTTTAAATTATTGTCATTGTAGTGCGAATTTAATGTGGCGCTGCACTCTGATGTTGGAGAAAACATTTATAAAAAAGTCTAATTAAGTAGAACGTGTTGTCTATATTTATTTAAAGTTGCGCATTTTGATGTGACGTCACATTTCTCACCCCCCCCCCCTCCCTCGTCACACATCGTCACAAATGTCTGACGCCCCCCCCCACCCTAGGTGCGTGACGTCATTTATGGACGGCCCCCAAGGCATCCATCCATCTCCCCAACGGAGAATTGATGCAAAAGATTTTAAACTCAGCCAAAACTTCCCCGTCTGAAAATTCTAATGGCTCCGACGGGAAATGCGCATTGTGTCGTGCAGCAGCAGCAGCAGCGGCAGCAGTAGGGACGATCGCTTCGTTCACTGATGAGTTGACCCCTTACGCGGAGCCGTTGATTTCGCAGTCACCTCTGAGCGCTCTCGCTAATTGTCTCTGTGAGCCCCCCTTGGCGAGGCTCGTCGTGGTTTTTGCTTAACGGCGGTGAAGTTGAACGTCTGATTCAGTTTGGTTTTTTTTATTGATGACACCGCGTGTCTATTAGTTATTCCACTTCACACGCTGCAGCTTCGCATTCGGCGATGATATTTTATAACTCGTCATTTGTAGGTCCTCTCTGCCCTCAACAAAGATAAGACAAAGATGAAGGTTCCCCGTATAGCCTCAACAGAATGTAGGGGCAAGTGCTGTTAGCGAGCACCTATGAAGGCCGTAACGGCGTACAAGGGCGGTGTTTGACCAGCACCACGCCGCTCGGCTGCCTGTGTCTCCCTCGTGGCAATGTTTTTTACGCACCGCACCGGGGACTCATTTGAGGCTGAGTCGACCTAGGCGAGACCCAGGACCGGTTCAGATCATCGTCACTGGTGTTGGCCGTAAGCGGGAATCGAACTCTGGCCGCCTGGTTAGTAGATCAGAGCGGCGCTAACCGCTGTGCCACCGCTCCCCACCCTATCTGAACACTGCCCCCCCCCGGGGGGGGGGTGGGGAGGGAATAGGCTGCGGCATACATACCGTGCAGGAGAAAACTTTTTTCTGTGAAGGTGCATGTCAGCGTCACGCTGCGGCGACAAGACACACCGATACACAACGTGACGCACGCGTACCTTGCACACGCACCTTACACACGCACCTTGCACACGCACCTTGCACACGTACCTTGCACGTGTACCTGGCACACGTACCTTACACACGCACCTTGCACACGCACCGTGCACACGCACCTTGCACAC